GAATTGACGGAATACCCATTGAGATGTTTCAACAAAAGGATGCTGCGCTGGAGGCACTCACTCGGTTTTGCCAAGAGATTTGGAAGACAGCTACCTGGCCAACTGACTGGAAGAGATCCATATTTGTACCCATTCCAAAGAAAGGTGATCCCACAGAATGTGGAAGTTACTGAACAGTATCATTTATATCACATGCAAGTACAATCTTACTGAAGATAATTAAAAAAATGGTTGCAGCAGTATATTGACAGAGATCTTCCAAAAATGCAAGCTGGATTCAGAAGAGGATGCAGAATAAGGGATATCATTGCCAATGTCAGATGGATCTTGGCTCAATGCAAAGAATACCAGAAAAATGTTTACTTACATTTTATTGACTATGCAAAGGCATTTGATTGTGTGGATCATAACAAATTATGGATAATATTGAGAAGAATGGGAATTCCAGAACACTTAATTGTGCTCATGAGGAGCCTGTACATAGACGAAGAGGCTGTCATTTGAACAGAACAAGGGGACACTGCATGGTTTAAAATCAAGAAGGGAGTGTGTCAGCATTGTATACTTTCTCCACACTTATTTAATCTATATGCTGAGCGAATAATCCAAGAAGCTGGACTATATGAAGAAGAGCATGGCATCAGGATTGGAAGAAGAATCATTAACAACATGTGATACGCTGATGACACAACTTTGCTTGCTGAAAGTGAGGATGACGTAAAGCACTTACTGCTGAAGATTAAAGAATACAGTCTACAGTATGGATTATATCTCAATGTAAAGAAAACAAAAATCCTCACAACTAGATCTATAAGCAGCATCACAATAAATGGAGAAAAGATTGAAGCTGACAAAGAACTCACATTGCTTGGTTCTACAACCGATGCCAACGGAAGTAGCAGTCAGGACATCAGATGACGTATAGCACTGGGAAATTGGCTGCAAAGGACCTCTTTCAAGTGCTGAAGAGCAAAGATAACTCCTTGAGAACTAAGGTGCACCTGACACAAGCCATGGTATTTTTCAGTCGCTTTATATGCATGTGAAAGCTGGACAATGAATAAGGAAGACCGGAAAAAAAGGTGATGCTTTTGAGTCGTGGTGCTGGCGAAGAATGCTTAGAGTACCATGGACCGCTAAAAGATCTAACAGATCTGTCCTGGAGGAAGTGCAGCCGGGATGCTCCTGGGAGGAGAGAATGGCCAGATTTTGTCTCACCTACTTTGGTCATGTTGTCAGAAGGGACCATTCTCTGGTGGAGGATGTCATTCTTGGTGTGATGGTTAAGTTTGTGTGTCAACTTGGCTAGGCCTGGTTGAGTGGCTTGGTAGCTGGATGTAGTATTCCCCATGATGAGACTGGTAATCAACTCCATGGTGGAATCTACTGTGAGCAGCTGAGTAGCTGCCTTTGGGTCTGTGGTCTGCTTTCCATATATAAGACACAGCTTTGGGAGTGGTCTCTAGCTTATGGCACACTTGAACCCTGCATGTAACTGTGTCATTGTTCAGCGGCCTGCCATGCTCTGCCAACCTTGGGACTTTCAATGGACTTGAATTAATGACTTACCATGTGGTTTGGTAACATCGGGACTGTGCCTTGTCAACCTTGGGTTTGTCAGCCTCAGCAGCCAGTTAGCTGTCTGAGTGAAGAAAAGCCTCTAGCTCCAGTGGGCTGGGAGCAGGAGGTAGAGCAAAAGCCAAGGTTGAGGGGCTTTCACCCAGCCCCTAGAGCCTGGCACTTTGAACTCAGACTTAAAGCCTCCCAACTATAAGAGAATAAACTCCTGTTTGTTCAAGCATCCCATTTGTGGTTTATTCCTGTCAGAGTGGCACTAGGGAACCAAAATACTTGGTAAGATGGATGGTCAACGAAGGAGCAGAAGGCCCTCAATGAGATGGATTTGACACAGTGGCTGCGGTGATGGGCTCAAGTATAGCAAGGATCGTGGAGCTGGCACAGGACCAGGCAGTGTTTCGTTCTGCTGTGCATAAGGTTGCTATGAGTCGGAAACAACTCGACTGCACCCAACAACATAAGCTGCAAAAACAAGGGCACATGACAACCAGTAAAAGCTGGCAGGGTGGTCCCCAGCTGTTAGACTCTTACGTCAGGATGGGCCTATGTTCAGAGGATGGGCCACAAGACAATGCCTCTGCAACTCTTAGGCACACGTTTGTAAGTAATTCACTGCAGTAACCCTCTGGTACTACCCGTCAGGACTCTTATTAGTAGACTCGGAAAGTCCTAAACTTTGAACAAACTTGAATCTTCTCTGAAAATGAGAGATGCTATACCTATCTGCTTGGCACAGTCTCATTAAGAACAATCTAGAAAAATGTGGCCACTATGGCATTCTCTGTGCAGTGAATTAGAATCTCATAGGATGAAATTCCTGCTGAGAATTTTATTTGACCTGGGGAAACCAAAGTTGCAACCTAATTCTTAACATGCTTGACAAATGAGCCTGATGTTCTCACTACCGAGACACTGGTTTGGGATTTATACTTTGAACTGAATATCCTAGAATTAGTTTAGAATTTCAGTGATCACTTTGAGAAAATGAGTTTCCATTTGTTCCCTCCTTTTAAAAGCTTCATTGTAACTAGCCTATTTCAAGCCATTTACTTTAAGAATAAGAATCATCTCCCTATGTGCATATAAAATAACTACTCAGAATAAACCTTAATCTTCATCTTTTATTGAGCTTTATTTTTAACACAACTAAGCCATAGTCTCCTTCTATTTGCCAGCTATAAGCAGATCACTTCCAGCCCTGGGAAACAAAGGAGCCACGAGATGGTCAGGGGTGCGTGAATTACACGGATAGCTACTAATCAACCAGGGCACTTGCATTGAACTGTGGGGTTATTTGATACAACAGCTGGTATTACATGGATACAGTAACCACCATCCTCCCTTCCTCTCCACCTGTAGCTGTCAAGTCCATCCAACTCATAGCAACCCTATAGGACAACCCTATAAGGTTTCCAAGGCTGGAGTCTTTACGGAAGCAGACTGCCACATCTTTCTCCTGTGTAGCTGCTGGTAAGCTGCAACTGTCAACCTTTTTAGGTTAGCAGCAGAGCGCTTAACCATTGTGCCACCAGGGCTCCTTCCCTTCCTCTCTAGGCCCCTGATAACAATAAAGTTTGAGCACCAGGTCATTCTGTAAAGTGAGTCTCTAATCCCTAGTTGCAGTCCAGGCTTTTACATAGCAGTCCAGGTGTTCTGGTTAGAAATTACTAACACGATGCACTTTGTTATTTTGTTAAACTGTTATCCAATATTTAAACTTCTCCCCATGTTCTCATGAATAGTTTCATCCATGTTCATAACTGGAGGCATTAAAACAAACTCTAAAAATGTAGATCTTCCAGTGTAGTTTGGCAGATCCTCACGTACAGCAACTCCACAACAGCTGCTTAGAGTTCATAGTGGGTTTAGGCTGGTTCAAGGGGTCTTTGGGGGCCACAAGCTCATCTTCCTCCTCCTGTTCTCTGGCTTCATGACACGGAGGTGCACCTCCAGGCCAATCTTAGCGTGGCAGGTCCTCAGTGCTAACTCATGTGCTAATTACAAAGCTGAGCCAATTCTGCTGAACTCAGTGGACTTCAACTGGCGAGTGCTAATGAGAAGGCTGAGGGAAGACACTGTCTCTCTATCCTTCTTCACCGACAACTCCTTGACATGATGGGGCCCAAGTCTTGGGTCCTTTTCTAAAGCAACCAGATTTTTTTTTTGTAATCGACAAGTTTACTGATTAGTACGTGTGTGTGTGTGTGTGTGTGTGTGTAGATATGTATCTAACCCTTGTGGGTGTTTGATAGGAATCTGTTTCCCATGTGTGTGTGTGGCTCCTCTGTACACGTGCAAACCTGTGTGTACCATTTATTTCTGTACATGTGATCTCATGTGTCTGACTGCTAGTCTGTGTGTTCTGGGTGTTGCCTGTGTCTGGATGTGTGTCCGTGTACATTATGGCAAACATTAAGAGTACACGTGCATCAGACTATGTATGGATGTGAACAGCTCCCCACCCCCCTGAATCCTTTCAGCTCTCACACAGTTTATTCTTCCTGCTGTGGCTGCTGCTTCTGCCCTTCTCCAGAATTTACCATTAAATAATTGCAGTAATTAAGTACAGTCCTCCAAACAGTCACCCCACCAGGCATCCCTTCCAGGAGCTAACATGGGAGGATGGGGTTACTGCATATGCAGACACCCCCATGGTACCATTCAGGCTGCCCAGAAGGCAGGGGGTACACACACACGTCACAACCTGAGAGCAGAATGTTCTTTGCCAGCCTCTAAAAATGCTATGAGAAATGACTCCATGCTACTTCTAAAATATTTTGATTTTTTTTCTTTAAAATATTATTATTATTAAGGTCACCCTCCCACAGAGACAGTGGCAGAACTGCTTGATGACACCAAGTTTCCCTTCTCCACTGCTTCTGTAGTACAAGAACTCTTGATAAATCTGCTCAGTCACATGGCCACCCAAAATAAAGACTGCATTTCCCATCTTCATTTGCAGCCACATGCGGCTATGTGACCAAATTTTGGCCAAAGAAATAGGAACTAATTTTGAGTTGTGTATTTCCTTAAAGGCAAGGGTATCCCCTCCCTTTCCTTTCTTTGGTGGCAGGAATAGATGAGATAGGAATTGGGAGGAGGAGAAGGAAGATGGAAACCAATCACTGACACTAAGGTGTCACCATGTTAGCACTCAATGTTTATATGAGACTCTACATGAGGAAAGAATAAACTTTAATCGTGTTTAAGCCACTGTTATTTTAGGTCTCTTTGTTACAGCAGCAAAACATTATACTAACTAATACAAGGACAAAGAACAGCTTCATGGACCTTGAGCTATTAGCTAAGAGCTAAAGCCTCACCCTGCTCAACGTCTACTTCACCTTATTTTGCCCTCACCTAAGTCCTCCAGCTGCTCCTAAGTCCTCCCATAATCCTCCAAACACTTCCCAAGTCTTCCATGAATTTAATGCATGAATCTCAAAAACAATGACAAGGGAAAAGTAAATAAAATAAAATAAAAATGAGATCAGGGAAAGAGGGCTACTGACATACACATAGAAGGGAATAGGGGCCAAGTTAGGAGCTGGAGCAGAGAAGTATCCTTCCTCAGGTGTCACATCTCGTCTAACCCGTAGTCCTCCTCAGGGAAGTCCCCCACTGTCACAACGGATGGCTTGACGAAGGCGCCATACTTGGCCTGGCATTCGAAGTAGCGTTTCCCATTCACACTGCAGGGCATGATGAAGGAAGCAATGGTTAGAAAGCCCCACCGTGGTTTTAACTTCCAGATGCTAGTATGGGCAGGCTCGCCCAGCAGAACCCAAGCAGACTTATACACACACATATACATGCCCACAGAGACACAAGAACGCTAGAGCGGGGATGGTTGTTACCTGCCATCGTTTTTCCCTAGTGGCTCATCGTAGCGGACACCAATCCAGTAGCCAGGCTTGAAATCTGCGAGTCCTGCCCAGGGGAGAAATCCCAAAAAACCTCCAGATGTAGCTCAACTCCCCCAAGCTTGTTTCTGCCTCACAGCTTTTGTACTTGATGCTCCTTTTACTTGGCATACTCTTCCCTACTTCTTCACTGGCTCACTTCTCCTTTTCCTTCAGAACATTGCTCCAGCAGGAAGCCTTCCTGGATCACTCACAGATGGGTGCGATACTTGCTCTCAGCCCCCACTAGGCTTCCCTCACCACAGTGTTGATCATTCCGGCCTCTGCGTTCCCACCCCAGTCTAATTGCTCCACCTGTGCCTCCCAATTCTCGGCCCTGAACGCTCTGGGTTGTCACCATCAACTGGACTGGGATCTCCACGAAGGCTGGGCCCCTAGCACCGCCCACTTTAGGACAGGGCATAGTCCTGGCCTCAGTGAGTCTCTGTGGAATGAATGGAGTCCCTCTCAGCCTTGCGACCTAGGGCCCTGTGGGCCACGTACCTACGTACATGACAGTGCCTCGGCGAGAGGACTGCCCAGGCACCCGCACCTCACAGCGGCTACCCACGGTGATGGCATCAGCCTGGGTCTTCTCCTCAGTGAGGCACTGGGTAACCTCGGCCTCCCGCTGGGCCCGCTCCTCTTCACTGTATCGGCCTAGCTTGCTGCGCTTCAGGAAGGAGCGAACTGTGTCTGTGGCAGGGTAGGGGAAAGGGATCAGACACGGTCCCTGGCCTAATGAAATACCATTTCACCCATGCAGGGCGAATTCATAGAAAAACTCTTCTGTTTTGGGTGTCGCAGAGCTTGCCTGAGCCCTGTTAGTGCTTCTACTACTGTCCCAGCCTCTCCCCAGGATTCCTAGGGTCTTCCCACAATCCAGAAACTAAAGGGAGGAGGGATGACACCTGCCTCCAGCTTTTCACATGATGACCCTGTCTTCTCAAATGTCCCTTCAGTCTCACACCCACCTTCACCCAGCCTCTGAAGCCCCCACCTCTTCTCCACTATACATATTCCATCTGTCCCCCACATGCCTACACTGCTCTGTCAGCTTCACATACTCTATCGACTGACCACAGGCTCCATTTGCCCATACTCCCCATCTGCCCATCTCATGCCCCCATCTGACCCTGACCACTCTGCCATGTCCCTGAGCCCCCATGCCCCAGACCTCCTCATGCCCCTTCTATTCTCCTATGCTCTCATCTGCACCCCTACAAACCCTAACACCTCCCAGCCCACATGTGAACCCCATGTCCTACTACCCATGATTCCTCCTGACAGCCATTTTTACCTGTCCCCAACCCAACCCCACCCCTATCCTCCCAAGGTGATCTACCTCCACTGTCCGTATCAGCAATCTCCCCAAAATGGTCCTCTACCCTAACTTCCCCACACCTTCATATACACCCTCTGGCCCCCATAAGCCCCACCCATCTCCATGAGCCCCATACCTTGTCTCTGGTCATAGGATTCCTGTGATATCTTGTATTTCTTCACCTTGGACACGTCTTCATATTCTCCAAGGCGGGCACCACTGTGGTCAATGACCTGTGGTGAAGGGAGGGGAGGGCAATGGGTATGAGCTCTCCCAATTCTGTGGTCACTTTCCGCATGGCCCTTTTCCTTCCTGATTCTTCACATTTGTTCATGTGGCTAACATCTAATCAACACGCTGAACCGAGCTAAAACAGGGCCCTTTCCAGACTTGATGCACAGGTATATCTCTGGGGCAACACAGGTGTTTAATAGTTATCAAATAAATGAAAGAGAAAAAAGAACCAGTTCTTTGTGCATGCTGGCTTCTGGAGTCAGGCAGACTGAAGTAAAAACTACAGCTACAGGTCATCCTCAGGAAAGTAAATCCCATCTCTTTTGCAAAATGGGGATCTTTCCAGGTTTATTTATGGGTTCAACTCATTATCCAACAGATTCACTGGGAATTCTGTCAGGGGTTATTCCAGGTGCTGGGGAAGTAATAGTGAAGAAGAGAGAGGTACATTTCTGCCCTCATGGCACTCTGGTGGAGGAAGCGTAAACAAATAAGCAGCCCAAGGAGAGTACGTAAAAGATGATAGGAGCCAGGGACAAAAATCAAGTAAAGCAAAGGGGAAAGAGGAAACGCTAAATTTTATACTGCCAGGCTTCACTAGGAGAATGACATTAAGTAGAGACTGGAAAGAAGGGGTGAGTAGGTGGGACATAAAAAAGAACCATCCAGGCAGAGGTAACAGCACATGCAAAGGCCCCGAGGCAGAGCCTGTCTGGGATATCTGAGAAGCAGTGTGGCTGCTGCACACTAAGTGCAGTAGGAGGAGAAGGAATGAGGGCAGTGAAGACAATGTGAGCTGACACACATAGAGGTTCTGTGTATTCCAGCTTCTCCCAACAAATCCACCCTCAGTGCTGACCCTAACCCACCTCACACTCTGGGCCTATGTAGACCCTGGGCCTATGTAGACCCTGGGCCTATGTAGACTCTGTATAAAGGCATACCTTGTTTTATTGTGCTTCACTTTACTGCACTTCTCAGATATTGTGTGTTTCACACCTTGAAAGTGTGTGGCAACTCTGTGTCAATCAAGTCTATGGTGCCATTTTACCAATAGCATGTGTTCATTTTGTGTCTCTGTGTCACATCTGGTAATTCTAACAGTATTTCAAACTTTTTCATAATGCTATTGTACACTTAATAGACTACATTATAGTATAAACATAACTTTTACACACACCAGGAAGCCAAAAAAATTGTGGGACTGCTTTACCACAATAATTCGCTTTATTGTGGGGGTCTGGAACCAAGCCTACAATACTTCCAAGGTATACCTGTACTCGCTTCCTCTGCCGGGCATATCCTTCCCACCTCTTCCACTGGGTCACCCTCTCCTCATCCTTCAGGTCTCCACTTAAGCAGCTACTGCTCCAGGAAGCCTTTCTTAATACCCCCAGGTAGGGTCAGGCACTTCGTCTGGGTGCCCTGATCTCCTGGGCTTTCCCCATCTCAGCCCAGTCCACTCTGGTCTGTCACTGCTGAGGAGTCTGTCTCTCTCCATATTGGACTGGGGCTCTAAAAGGACAGGGCCTATCTTGGTTATCACTCAGGGGAGGGCACAGCAAATATCTGTTAAATAAATAAGGGAATGGATAGTGGTGGAAGGTCCCAGGCAGGGAGGTCTCACGTGGATGCGGCAGCCATCGTCCACAGGGTAGGAGCCCAGGAGCGCATCCTCCCGATCCAGCTTGCTGTAGAACTTGTCATCAGCTCCATAAAGCTCTAGTTCCATGCACGAAGCGGGGCTGCCCACCACCAGCTCCAGTTTACACTGCGACGAGGGGGGTGGGTTAATGGAAGGGCTGCCAGTGGCTCTGCCCTCTGCCCTCAGGCTCTGCCCCTTCTATCAACCACTCTCACCCAATTCCTGGCCCTGCTCCTAAACCCCTCAGGTTCCAGCCATCCTGGGATCCTCACAACTGGACCAATAAGCAACATCATGATAAATAGAGAAAAGAGTGAAGTTGTCAAGGCTTTCATTTTACTTGGATCCACAATCAACACCCATGGAAGCAGCAGATAAGAAATCAAACAATGTATTGCATTGGGTGAATCTGCTGCAAAAGCCGTCGTTAAAAGTGTTTAAGAGCAAAGACATCACTTTGAAGATTAAGATGTGCCTGACCCAATCCATGATATTTTCAATCACCATATTCATGGAGGAGCTCTGATGGCATAGTGCATAAGGCATTTGGCTGCTCACCAGAACGTCAGCCGTTCAACCCCACCAGCTGCTCTGCGCAAGCAAGTTGAGGCCATCTACTTCTGCAAAGATTTACACCCTTGGGAACCCAATGAGGGGGTCACTCTGAGTGGGAATCGACTCATTAGCAGTGAACTGTTTTCATATTATGTGAGAGCTGGACAATGAATGGGAAGACCACGGAAAAACGGATGCATTTGAATTGTGTTGGCGAGGAATACTGAACGTACTATGGACTGCTAGAAGAACGAACAAATCTGTCTTGGAGGAAGTACAGCGAGAATGCTTCTTAAAAGTGAGAATGGCCAGACTTCGTCATTCCTACTTCAGTCATGTTGTCAGAAGGGATCAGTCCCTTGGAAGAGTATCATGCCTGGTAAAGTAGAGGGTCAGCGAAAAGGGGAAGACCCTCAACGAGATGGGCTGACACAGTGGCTGCTACGATAGGGTCAAGCATAGCCAAGGATTGAGAGGATGAAGCAAGACTGGATAACATTTCGTTCTGTTTTAATTAGGGTTGCTATGAGTCTGAACCGACTCGACGGTGCCTAACACCACCACCACCATCCTGGGTCCTTACACCTCGTTTCTTACCCCCGTTATCAGTAACCTGTAATTCTTCCTGGCCCCACCCCTACTCTCAGGAACTTCAGGTTCTCTCCCACCCAGCCCAGACGTTCGTTGGAATCTTAGATTGTCTCTGGCTCTGCCCCTCTCCTCTCTCTGGCCCCTCCCCACGTTGGGGATCAGCATTTCTTTGTCCCACCCCCCAATTCTATACACCCCGCCTCCTCCGGGCCCCGCCCCCATGGCCACACCTTGAACTCAGCGATGGTGAGACTGCGACTGTATCGCTTCTCAGAGCGAAAGGTGTTCAGGGTGCTGCTGATGAAAACGGTTACCGTGGGCGCCGATATCCCAGCCACCTCCATCTCGTCGCGCCCTCCCAGGGCTCTCAACCCCGTTCAGCCGCCTCACACCAGATCCGCAGCCACAGGCCGCCGCTTCAGGAATATCAGCCCCTCCCCCTGCTCCCGGAACTGACCAATGACACTCTCCCCCA